CACAGACAACATCCTCGGGCCATGGGGTTTCTCAAGATTACAGCAATGACCCGAGGAAGTTTGCTGCGATAAAAATCCTTTCTTAACTCATATTTTAAGAATAAAAAACCCATTTGTGGACTCTTCAGATTCTTCTTGCAAGTTTTCCTCCATTTCCACGGTTATTTCTTTTCTATGAGCAAAGCCCTTGACGACCCCAATTATTTCTGGCAATCATTTCGAGGGTATCAAAAGTAGAAATAAATAAATAATACAATCTTGAAGAGGGTGTGAGGAAGGGCAGGGGCAGGGGCAGGGCAGGGACTAAGGAAATTGCTGCTAAAAGTGTAAAAAGTTGAGCCTCGAGGCCTAAAGGTCGTCAAAGTGAAAAATTCGATAAATGAAAATGGACAAGACCAACAGAGAGAGAGAGAGAGAGAGAGAGGGAGAGTGTGGCGTAGGAGGCGGCGCACGAATTGAAACGGAAATCCTTATTGAACTAGAGTGAGAGATGGCTGGACGGGGGAACGGAGGTGGGGACTCCTAGGGCCAGTGACAGGCACTGTGGCAAGGATAAGGAGTCGGCTCCTGATTCTGCTGCTGCTGCGTTGGCAAACCGGAAAAGCATGCTGCCGAAAATTTGTGCTGCTGAGTGGCAATGGAGAGTGCTCCTCCCTGGCCAGCCCCTTAGCTTGATCTGAGTTTACACTGAGAGAAAGCGCAGTTGGATTACGAATAAGAAATTATGAACAATTTGTATGGTTTTCGCTCAGTGAGCTAACTGTGAGGGCTGCTGTCCAGCAGCGGATGCGAAATGGCAGCGCGACACACACGAGAGGAATGGCAGCGGCAGCATCAGCAGCGCAGGAAATGGCTGGCAATGCCTTTTTGCGATGAGGGAGCTGAGAAGGAAGTAGAAGATGGCAGCAGGATGTTGGTAGGGGAAGGAATAGCAACGGGAATTAGGAGCCCCCAAAAGCAGCAAAGGAAGCGGCAAATGTCAAGATGCCAGAAGCCAGCGCCCCAAATGTGCCGCTCCCAGAGTTTGGGGAATTTTAAATGATAATGATGGACGTACCGACTGTGCATGTGCGGCCACCAGGGGCCAGTCCACAATGTATCCTAGGAAGGGATTAAGGCATACCTGCAAATGAGAAGACACCTTTGAATTTAAAGGAATGTTGAGAATATATGAGATCGTTAATGGGGCGTTAAATGGTGCATGGAGTAAAGTATTCAAGTGATAAAGGGAACGCGTAGAGAGATATAAGTGGAGAAAGGAATACGAATAAAGTAGGCAAAGAAAGGGTCAAGGTAATCCGAGATCGGAGAAACTCATACAATTAATATGCTAGGTATTAATTAGTTTTCTTTAGTTAATTAATGTTAATTCATTTAATACTACAATACATTGTAATATTTTAAGTAGATTAAAGGAACGCTTTACGTTAAGGATTTATTAACAGTTGCTACATGACCAGAGAAAGTTTCCTGCCTTTGAACTCAATATTTGGAATTGGTAGGGAAATATTATTATTTATCGATTTCAGTTATCAATTTCTGCATTATTATTATTATTAATTACTATTATTTCATTAATTTCTATTATTATTCTACCATTTGTCATTGAATACTTTAAGCCTTTCTCAGCCTTTTTTTATTAAACATTTTTCCTTCTTGGCATTTTTGTGCACTTTTTTAAAGGCAAAAAAAAAACCCTCTAGGATTCAGCTCATCATTCGTTAACCGTATAATGGCCCACAATCTCTTAGCCCCACTTGATTTGCCCCAGTTAACCCATCAAATGGTTGCATGGCCCCCCATCATGACGTCAGTGAGGCGTAGCGCCGCTTGAGACTCAACAGATGGAGACTAGGCACATTTTGAACATCGTTCAGTCGCTCTGCCTGCATCTACTGGCATTGGCGCATTCGGAAGATTAACACATTCCTCTGGATACTGCAACGGGGATGAATCGGGGGATGGTGCACACTATTGGGCTGGCCCGAAAGCCACAACAACTTTAATTAAGCCTTGGTCCCTGGGTGGACTCTGGCCGAGAGTTCTTCCAACCATTCAAATCACACAAAAACAGGCAAACTCTTCAATGTGCCACAGAGAGAGAGAGAGAAGAGAGGGAGAGGAATATGCATTGAATGAACTGAAGGCCGGTCGGCCTGTATGTCCCGTCTGTCCTGTCTGTCCTAACTGCCAATTTAGGTAAAAAAGCTGTGGAACCGAATGCAAATTGAGGCCAAAGACCTGTGCAGGTGCTGTGCCGTATGTTGCTGATTTTTCATTTATATCTCCTCAAAAAAGGGAACACAAATCTGCACCACCTCTTCACCTGAATCTCTGGCAGAGCCATGCCTACTGCTCCTCCCCCGGGAGTGCCTGCCTGCTCTTCCTCTGCCTCGCTGGACTCTGGTTTGGAGCCACTGAAGCTCTGTATCTCTTTGGAGCGCAGGTGGACAGATAGACCCGTAGTTTTAAGCATAACGAATTGGATTGTCATGGCAATCGATAGATACGATGTTTGCACACACACATACACACATACACACAGAGAGAGAGAGACAGAAAATGGCACCACGTCCATGGCAGTAGTGTCCTAATGTAGGCTAAGTGGCCGGACATGTGCATATGGCGACGTGTAGACTTGGGGTGGAGCGAAACTGTTACTTCGGACATCACACAGAGACTCTGAAACACTGATTAGAATGGGGAGGGGCAGGGTAGTATTGAGGATTTGTATGAAGAGAGTAAAGCTATGACACGATGTGTGGGCTAAGTTCTCGAAAGTGGTAGAGGATTCTCTGGAATTTATAACGCGGTTTGCCAAGAAAAACAGGTTAGACAGGAAAGTAATAAAAGAATCGAATAATTCGATTATGACGTGATGATTTTTAGGTTCATTTTTTCCGATATTTGAGAAATTTTTATTTTAAAACTGTTTTCTGATTTTTAAGAATGGTTTTTGGGCTTTTGCATCCTATAATGTATAATTATTTATGAATTGTAGTATGTTTTTTTTATTTTCCTCTTGTATTATCTTTTATTATTTATTAAAAAATTCTTTCCTCTAATTCATTAATATTCCCATTTTATATTTGATTTATTTTTAAAAAATATTCTGGAATTTGGAAAGCCTTAATTTTGCATTTATTATTTTATGAATTCTTTGCTCACTTTTCCTTACTTTTAAACTCCTTAATATTAAAAAACCATACAAATACCTTTCACTCTCCCTTCATATTGAGAGCACCTCTAGAAACCTAGCGTTCCCTGCATATTCCCGAATATATGAACGAGGCAGACGGTATTAAGACAAAAGAATGAAAACCTCGCTCTTCCGCACAGGCCCCTTGGTCAATATTGGATGACAGCTTTCGAAAAGCGTGCTAAAGGCGTGCAGGCTGGTCACCAAAAAAAGGAAAATAATATTAAAAAAAGAGACCAACATAGCTCAGGCAGCCCCTTACAAAATCCCACTCCCTTGTAGACCCTTACCGTTCGCAGTACTAGCCGACCCTTATCTCCATTGCTCAACCCATGACCCCCTAAACTGGAGGAGCGGAACTTCTCAGCAGCAAGCTCCTGCCTCTATTGGAAGGCTCACTCCTCCATTGCTGCTGCCCTCCTGCCCGCCCCTTGTGCCAAATAGAATTTAAATCTGTTAAATCCTCGTACATGACAGTTTTCTGTGTGTTGAATTTTTGGTATGTCGTCTTCCTGTTGCTATTTGCCATTGCTGTTGCCTTTGCCTTTGGTTCCTATCTGCTCCCTCTCTCTTATTTATTTGTTACTTATGGCTCAGCTCTGCCCCGTTCCAGCTCATGTAATGCGGGATTTCAGCTCTCTGGATCTAGTTTCTCTCTTCAGAATGTGTGTGTGGCATGGAGAGTGTTCTGTGGATGGATGCTGCTTGAGGTGATTTTGATTGAGTGCGATTTGTACTTTGTGTTTCGCCTACGTGCTTCGGTTTTTTAATAATATTTACCTCTCGAGTGTGTGGAGAGGACTTTTGTTGTCTTTGGTTTCTGATTGCACAAGGATATGAAAGAAAGTGGCTGAGTGGCTGAGTGGCTGGACTTTTACTTTCAATTCGATACGATTCGATTCGATTGTAACGGATACATAACATTTCGATATTGTTTGCTCTGTTTTCTGCCAATTTTATATTTTAGTTTCCTGGTAACAGCCTTTGGGGGGCTTACATATTTACTTGGCAGGAAATGTGTTTTATTTCGGGTACATTCAGGGCCACGAAGGGCGAAAGTGTGGACAGACTTGTAGACAGACATTTTGGAGCTTGAAATTATCGAAAAACTTTATGTTTTCATACAGAATCTATTTGGAAGCTTATTACAGAAAATATGGAGCTGAAGATTGATCATATAGTTTCATCATTTTGTGGGTTTTAGCCATTACAACTCTTATGTAAAAGTCGTCGCAAGCATCTTTAATCTTAAACTAAGAAAAGGTCTCTAAAAACAATCTTCAAGTCAAAAACTTAACCAGGTCGGAGCCCACACCTTTCTCTAAACTTGAATAAAACCACGCTGGGGCGGGGTTAATGTACTGCAAATTATCCGATCTGCAGAACCTGTGTACACAGATCATAAATAAAGTATCTGCGCCATAAACTAAAGACATTAGAGCACACGCTAGACCTGTGGCTAGGGGCTGTGTATCTGTGAGCAATCTGTAATTACTTATTGCTAAATCGATCTTGAAAGAGCACTGGACAGAGAACAGACATAAAGTTGGTCAAAGAGTGAGATTTAACGAGTGCCATAAAAAGGCGAAAGGCGGCGAAACAATGCTGCGAATTGGAAATTGATTTACGAGGCGATATATCTGCGCTCGTACGAATAAAAAATATACAGTTAAACAGATCAACTGTGAAATTAAAACACGTGAGGCCTTGCGACGCGTGCCACAAGAAGGGATTGAAGATGGGTTTACTGCTATAAAAGTCACCAGAATCTAAGGTTTGAGGCACAGTCAATCGCTGAAGCTAACAACGAAGAGAACCATGAGAATTGTACGCATTTTTGTAGTATTTGCAGCCCTTGTGGCTTTGAGTGCAGCTGAACATGGCTCTGGGTCGAAGAATCGAAGGGACAATGGTAAGGTATCTATGAAGACATTATGGAGAAGCCTATTCTGAACTTCTTTCTGCTCCCTTAAGCCCTTGAAAAGATTATGCCACGACTTCTGTGGAATCTACGACGTGGCGACAACAACCAGGAGAGCCACAGGCAGCAGCAACCCATCATCATTGTGCAGCAACCTTCATCGAATTCGGAGTCGGACAGACACCATCATCATCCCCATTATCCATTTTATCCATACTATCCACCACCACCACAGACTCGTCCACCGCAGCCACAGTTCCCCGGAATGGAGTATCTGGGCAGTGGAAGTGGGGGACCCACCTTCTTGATTGTCAACCCGAACAACATGCAGGGCATCTATCTGCCCAGCTCCGCCAACAGCTCCAACAGCACGAGTGCCCGGAGGAGCGCCTTTGTCCCCTCGATTGGTGATCTTTTGCAGGGTCTGAGCTTCAACGATCTGGTTGATGGAAGTCTCTTCGAAGACGACTCTGAGGTGGTCGATGCTGCCGAGGAGGGGAATGTGGAGGACGCTGCTTTTGAGAATGAGCGTCCAGCTGGGTCAGCGGATCAGCTGGATGGCGATGTACTCAGCGTGGACGAAATCGATGTCTTGGATCGTCAGAACAATCGTGGCCTGAACCCCAAGCTTCTGTTCTCCATGCTCATGCAGGATAAACGTCGCAGGCGCATCCAGGAAGTCCTTGCCGGCATTTACTTGAGGAACACTCATCTGAATAGAAAGTGAGTCGTCGAGTGAATCGAACAAATTGAAATATTTTTGTGAGGCAGAGAATAAACAGAGCGAAAAGAAGGAGAATAAAAACCTTCGCCCCAAAACAAACACACACAAAAAGTTTCCTCCTTTCTCTTCATTATGGGGCCTGCACTTTATCATAGTTCCCTGGAGAAATCTAAGCTGAAACTATCCTGCGGAAGGACCTGCTCCTGCTGCTACTGCTGCTACTGCTGCTCCGGCGCCTTGTCTCAGCAGTTTTCTGGCTCTTTGTTTGCTTCTGTTGCTGCAACCATTTTCCCGTGGATTGTTGCGACTTTCAGGAGTTTCGGACAAGCACTAAAATAATCTGCAACTGCAGTTGAAATATTTATTTGCAATTCCCCAAACTAACGTGTGCTACAATTCTCTGGAAAGAGGAGCATAAAAAAGGGAATTGTTGCCACCGCACGACAGGTGGAAGAGTCAGCAGGAAGGATGGGGGCTATATGGCTGTGTGGCAGGCAGCAGACAGTAAAAGTTCTACACGAGAGATGAGGCAGCAGCAGCAGCAGCAGCTGCAGTTATTGTTTTAAGGCGAAGCAACTTTTCCAATGAGCAAAACCCAGGGACTATGGAACTTCAGAAATGTTTGTCGAGGCCCTGGACTACTGGAAAGAGCGCTTCTGTAGTATGTAATTAGTGTTGGAGGTTTCTTTTGGGCGTATACATTCAGAATGGAGAAAGTATTTCAATGAAAGCTAATGATAAATAATACTTAAGTGCTTCCCAAAAGTGCATTTTACATGCATAAATGGTGACTGAAAAATAACTAGCGAATTTGTACTCCGTGAATATTTTTGGAACAACTTCTAATGTTATATTTTCGGGGAACTATTACTGGCAATAAGAGTAACTTTTCAAGCCGCCTGACTATATTCAAAGACGTAAGATTTTACGTCTTTCGTGGTATTTCGGTAATTTACACATAACATTGATTGACTACCTAATTGGTGACCCCGATGCCGCATAAAGCCATAGGCAGTTTTTAGGGTATCTTTACAAATATTTGTATCCTTCTCTAAATACAACTATAATTTCAGCTCCCTATCTTGGGCTTTAAGCATGTTTCTGACTTTTCTTATTCATTTTTGCATGCCTAAAAGAAATATTTTTCCTTAAGGGATAATTTTCTTTGCTTCGACGCTTTAAAAACTTAAGTAAATCAGACGCCTTTCGAGAAGCGTCAGCTATGCGAACAGAAAAACCTGAACCCCAAAAATCGTTTTTGCCTTCAAACCTCAGGAGTTGGCTGCCGTTTTCATTGTTGCCACAAGCACCGGCACCAGCTACATCTACAGACCCTTCTCCATCTTTGGACCCCACTCTGCTCCAGCCATGAAATAAGATAGAAAGCTGGAAAAGTGCAGACGAAAAAAGATGCCAGGTGCTGGGCGGAGCAAACTATTTCGTCCCCATTCCAGGAGTCGTTTTACGTTTTTCGAAAGAGTCTGCGACTCCTGGCTCCTCTATTTATTGTTTGTTGCCATGTAGTCTGGAGGGCTGCATGTCCTGCGGCGGGCGGGGGTCTGTAACTTGTTTGAAATTTGACGTGTGTGTAGTTTGTGCTGACCATAGGGCGTGCGGACAGGGCGAGGCAGTGGCTGGCAACCCTAGATGCGCCAGAGTGGGTTGGTGGGTGGAAACCCTCACCAAAAGGTATGCCTGGCGCCTGCACTTATTTGTGCAAATTTATATGCAAGCTGCTGTTGCAACGGCAGCAGCAGCAGCAGCTCCAAAAATGTTCGTTTTCTCTCTTTTTTTTTTCTTTTCTTCTCCTTTTTTTCTTTCCTACTGGCACGGCTTCCCCTTAACAAATTGATGAATGTCTCGGTCTCGGTCCCTGGTCCTGCGACTGGGGAGCGTGCTTTGTTCGGAAGGGTTTGGCAGAGCACAGACAGACTCCTGGACAAACTTTAGTAAGATGAATGTTTGCCCAGGCAAATGACAGCCAGCCAGCCAACGAGTAGCTTCCATCTTGATTTTTGAGTCCATAATGACAGGAGCAGAGCCAGGAGACACGGAGGAGGTGAGCTGCGGAACGGCTCGTAGGCCATGTAATTGGTTAGCACTCCAAAGGAGTGGCCACACTCGAGACTGCCAGTCAAAAGAACACTTTTTTGGGGGGTTATAAGTGGATGCGTGAGAACATGGAATCTAGAGAGAAATAGTGTGAAATATCAGGGCTAATGGGAGAGTTTTAATTTTAATTTACAATTCTGTGTTCTGTTTAATCGAAAATCATGCCTTCCGACTTGATATCAGTTGAAGCAAATATTATTCATCGTATTTTAGATACTGTTGACCATTGAATAGCGATATAAACGATGACACATTATATTCACTGAACCATTGAAATTTATATTAATCAACTAGAAGTTTAACTCTTGGCTGAAAACAAACAAAATGAAAATGACTTTCAAAGTCTTCTTCGGCATCTCTACCATCACGTTCCAGTCCTTGAACACTGAAAGATGATAGTTATAATAAAATCTCCTATCCAATGTCAGCTACAACCCTTTACCATACTCATTGTAGCCCAAAGCCCATTCCAGAGCTCATTCCTTGACCAAAAACACCTTTAAACTTTAGCAATAAGAATATATTCCGAGTATACATCATGCAGAAGTTGCACCCGTCAGACACTCTCAACCCCTTTGAGATCACTCCAAAGATCTGCTGCGATATTCATCGCTCACCATAATCCCATACCTAATCCTCAGCCAGCTCCACTTCCAGGACCAAAAAAAGGCCATCAAAGGCAACGGCCAGGATAAGCGTAGGAAGAGACCGGGGAGTGGAGAGCTCAGGTAAGCGGAGGAGTAGAGGTGCAGGTACCCCTGCACGGTCTCGGTTTGCAATTTCACAAATGGATTTGTTGTAATTTCTTTTGCCACAGCACCTGATGCTCACATAGTACGAGTACGAAGAAGTAGTGCAAACAGAGGGGGGACAGACACACACACACACACACAAAAAGTAAGCGTAAAAATGAATAGAAAGAAAGGGGATATGGCAGAGAGAGAGAGAGAGAGAGAGAGAGAGAGGAGAGGCCAAAACAGCAAGCAAACAAAATGGAATAGAAAAGAGAAAACACTAAAAATGAAGGAAAGAGGCATAAGCCGGGTGGCTGGGAGCTGGGTGCTGTGAGGGGAGTGGCCGCCGCCACAGAGAGAACAACTTTTACACTTTACACATTTTCACATATGAAAATATTTTTTGTTCGAAAGTTTTTATCACTAAACCTACGACTGTGCCATCCTCTACTCCCGCTTGCATAGGACAGAGGAGGTCCTATTCCTCATGCGCTCCACCTCCGCCATTGAGCGGGGCACAAAACATTTATGGGATTTGTGTTTGCCAGACATGTTTGCATTTTGTATATGCGATATGCTTGAAATATCCCCACAGTTCGTTTTCTCTGCTGCTGCCATTTCGTGTGTGGCAAGCCAAAGGATACCAGAGACACGAGGAATCCACAGGATGGCACTTGTTTTTTTTTTTTTTGTTCTTTTCAACATTTTATTTTCCATCTATTTGCTCTGAGGTAAGCGCCGCCTGGGTGTGTCCCTGTGTCTGCTCTGAGGTTTGCTAAAGTTTCCATTTTCCCCCTATATTATTATGGGTGAGAAATGTTTGCTCACAGAGTGGTAGGCAGGAAGTTAATGTGGGAATATGATTAGCATTTCAGGCAGAACCTAGTGCCACGCCATGGCAAGATGGACTGTCTTTTAGCGAGTGAATCACAGGCCAGAAGTGGGTGTAGAGTTTTAGGTTTCATTTAGTTGGAGGTTTGAACTGTACAGTGGACAGCAGTTTCCTCTGCACGAATGTGGCCAAAAGGTATAAAGAAATGCGTGAAACCAACCGTTTCTTCATTTTTTATACATCTTTATAGTATTACCCATCCATATTATAAAAAAAACTCGTACTTTTTAGTGCAAACAGTTGGTTTTCATGGAAAATCCAAATAAAAGTCTCGTCTTGAGCCGCATAATCGGACAGGGCAAAAATGTATGTTGGGTTGCAGTATTTTGAATTTCTATTGTCGAACTATGAGAGCCTAGAATTCTAGAGAATTCTAGGGAACCTTTCAGCATTGAAACACTCTGCAAATTGCATCTATCTACTTAGCTCTAGCAGCATAATTTTAAGCCTTTAACTAGTTTCCAATGAATTCTCTTTAAAAATGCTTACTCTTGCTGCCTTTTTGTTTGGGCTTTCTATATTCCTTTTTCACATTTTGAAAAACTTCTGTCTGGCAGTAAGGCCTTGGCCCCTGATGACAAATTAGCACTTTGCGTGTCACTTTTATTGCGCTCCCTTTCAGCAGCTGCTGCTGCAGCCAGAACCGAACGAACCCAAACCGAACCGAAAGTTTCTTTATATCTACGCGAGAAGTATTCATTATTAATATCAAACGACTCGACCCCCAGAGTCACCATAATGACCGCAAAACACTGGCTCGGACTCTGGCCATTGGTCGCCGCCAGCTTGCCCCTCTGGGGAGCTGTTTTTGTTGTTGGTTGTCGGTTGTCGGTTGTCGGTTGCTGTTGTCGTCTGGCGGTTGGTTGGCGCTTTACAAATGACTTTTATTCACGTTAGCGGCGTCGCCAACTTAAGTCATAATTTTCCATCATAATTTTCCCATGTATAAATATAATTTTTCTCTCTCTATTTATTGTTTTGTTTGTTTCTTGTGTCCTGTGCGCTTTCATGTTCTTGTTATGGTTGATTAGTTCTATGTTCTCTCTGTTGTTGCTGCTGCTCATTCTTTGATTCATTTTCTACCCTTAGGAATGTCCTTTTCGTATATAACTTTTGGCCACAAGCAAATCGAGGCTATGTTGACTTTGTTTTTAGTGCCCGGACCTTGGTTTTGTTTGCGATTTGCGTTGAGATTTCTTAATGTTCCCAACCCATTTGATTGATGTGCCTCGATAGATTGTTGACTGAGTGTTAAATGTTACAGTTTTTGGTTGG